GTCCAAGATGATGTTAACACTAATAAAGGTTCAAAAATCAATGAATATGAATGTATACGCCTAACCCATAAGCAATATCAAATTTTATCAAATATTTTCAAAAAAATCCTCCACCGATCAAGCCTAAATGAATCAGATAGATTCTAATCCTACAATCCATTCTTCAACCGATATAATTAATTCAACTACTTCTTCTAAAATTATTCAATCAAAATGGCTCTTGGACACTAGGACAACAGATCATATAAACATATCTTTACATAATTTTTCAGCTTACAAGAAAATTAATACCATTTGCATAAATCTGCCCAATGGACAAATAGTTATAACTGAATTCTCAAGAGAGATCAAGTTTACTAATAACATCAATCTTACTAATGTGCTATTTGTCTTACTTTTCAATTTTAATTTAATATCTGTCTCCAAGCTCACAACATCACATGGATGTGATTTAATGTTTACTCATGATAAATGTGCCATATAGGATCACCAAACCAAAGAGATGATTGGTATAGTTATCATACATGCATGTCTTTATGTTCTCGATCTCCCTTTCAAAAGCAATCATCATAAACACATTGTTGCTACCAATAGAACCTCCCACGACATCAACATCTAGCACACTAGGTTCGACCATCCTTCCAATATCATAATGGAAATCTTAAAAAACAAGCATAATTGTATTCAAAACAAACAAATGATGATATATGATACATGTCATAAGGCAAAACATAAATTCCCCCTTTTCCCATTAATGTTGAATCTTGTTCTACTTCACATAGATTAGATATTCTTCACATGGATATTTGGACCCTTTAATGTTGTTTCTATACATGGTTTCCGATATTTTCTAACCATTATAGATGATTACACTGGTTTTACATGGATTCTACCTATGTTCAATAAATTTGATACCAGGGACAAGACTGCTTAGATCATTCAAAATGAAAAACAACTTGATACTTCTGTCAAAATTATACGCATAGATAATGGATCGAAATTCAACGTGCATACTTTTTTTACTCAAAAAGACATTATTCATCAGACTATATGCATGGAAACACCACAATAGAATGCCATCGTCGAGAGAAAACATCAACATATATTAAACATCACCCGATCATTGCTCATTCAAGCCACATTTCCAAACGTTTTTTGGTGTTTTTTCGTTCAACATGTTGCTCTCCTCATCAACTACATTCCAACACCTATTCTTAATAATAATTCACCTTATGAAAAATTTTATGGAACACTATACGACATAACTAGCCTGCACATCTTTGGGTGCCTCTTCTATGCAAATAATCCAGCTGTCCAAAGAGAAAAACTTGATAACAGGGCTGCTCCAGGCATCTTCCTTGGTTACAAACCATACACAAGGTTTTTCTTTTCTAAATCTTCACAATCAAAATATCACTCTTACTCGTGACATCAAATTTTATGAAAAAGTCTTTCCCTATAAATAACAATCACAAACTAATCATGATCCCACTAGTTTATCACTCCCTGTGCCTGACAATTATGCTTTCACTAATGCTGATTTTTTTGTCTGCATCCCGTCCTAATATTGATAACAATGAGATCACCAATCATCTAGAGATCGTACTATAAATGCAAATGAGTTGATCAAAACAACACTAATCAAGTTCCATAAAATATCAATCTATCCTAACCTCAACCCTCATCTAGAAATAGGAAAGTGTCATCTTATCTTCAAGATTTTCATCTAACTTCTTCTCATAATGGACCTACAAAATATCCTATCACTAAATATGTATCCTACACCAATATCTCTTCTATCTATAAACTTTTCATTTTTGCTATCTCTTTTAACCATGAACCCCACAACTACACAAAAGCATCCAAATCCACCCAATGGATCAAAGCTATGAAAGAGGAACTCACTGCACTAAACAACAACAATACATGGATCATTACCAATCTTCCTCCTAGAAAAACTACAATCAGTTGTCGATAGGTATACAAAATCAAATACAATTTAGACGATGCAATAGAATGCCATAAAGCTCGTCTGGTAGCAAAATGTTTCACTCAGCTTGAAGGGTTGGATTACTTTGATACCTTTGCCCCCGTTGCCAAACTAACCACTCTTCGTGTCCTTCTCATGCTCGTTACCTCTGAAAATTGGATCATAAAGCAACTAGATGTGAACAACACTTCCTTACACAACCATCTCAACGAAGAAGTTTACATGGAACCTCCTCTTGAGTTAGACATTGAAAATCAAAAAGTCTATAAACTTCAAAGATCTTTATATGGTCTCAAACAAGCAAGAAGACAATGATACGAAAAACTATCTCAGTTTATTCTCACAAATAAGTTCAAACGTTCCACTGCCGACCATTATCTTTTCATAAACCGTGAACAAAATCATATCACCATCATTCTTGTTTATGTTGACGATATCATCATCATTGTTACTAACAACAACAAGATTTAGCATATCACAACTCTGCTTCACTCTATTTTCCATATCAAGAATCTTAGGAACCTAACATTCTTCCTTGACATAGAAGTCATTTGTAATTCCATTAGTTTTCATCTTTGTCAGAGGAAGTATACTCTTGATTTACTCGAAGAAATGAGGATGTTAAATTGCGCCCCGGTTACCACTCCTATGATCCACACTTCACGACCTTCCCTCATTGATGCTTTCCTTCTAAATAATATAGATTCCCCTTCATATAAACGATTAATGGGCAAACTCATATACTTCACTGACACTCGTCCACATATCGCTTTCTTCATTGATAATCTAAATTAGTTCGTCACTACCCTAACTACGTTACACCAAGAAGCGCACATTGCATACTTCAATATCTAAAAGGATCCTTAGAAAGTGACTTATTATTTCCAAGCAATAACCACGTCCAACTACGTGCCTTTAACGTCACAAACTTTAATGTCTTCCTTGACAACTCTCTTGTTTTATGAAAATCCAAGAAACAACAAATAATATCAAGAAACTCCTCTGAAACTGAATATAGAATCATGACTTTAACAATGTGTGAACTTCAATATATAACTTATTTATTGCATGATCTTTATACCTCATACAACAAACCAGAAGTATTATATTGTGATAATCAATCAGCCATACAAATTGCACCGAATCCCTTATTTTATGAATGGATAAAACACATAAAAATGACAAGATTTTCAACAATATTCCTAAATTACTACATGTTTCCTTTTCTCTTTAGGTTAGCGACTTACCCACCAAATCATTATTTTTCATTTAGTTTAACACCTTTTAAAATTAAGAATAAAATATATTTATTTTCAATTTAAGGGGTTGTCAAAATTAAAAAATTAAAACTTTGTCAATATTCATTTAAGATATTGTCATAACGTGTTTAGTGTTTTTTTTTTCCTTTTTCCTGTTTTAAGTTTTTATTTCTTTTTTTTTTCCCTCTACTCCAGTGAATATGTATCTTGTAATGTACGCCGACACTGAGTAATACCAAAAAATTTTGCTTTTTCTCATTAGCTTCTTTTCTTTACTTAACATCTTGTTAACATGCAGAATTCTATTTTCATGCTTTCGTTTTTTTTTTTTTAATTCGTAGACAACATAGAATAAAAGAAGAGACCGATAAAAAAATATAATAGACTCACATTTTTTTATATCTACTTCAAATTAATTATATTAAATAAAATAATTCATTTTTATTTTTATTTAGCATTTTATTTATTTCATTTCAATTAAATAAAATAAGAAAATGAACAGGTTTGAGTAAACTGGTCATAATTTTATTTGATTTTTTTTCATCTTACTTTTTAGTAATTCTTGATTTTGTTTTTATTTTAATATATATATATATATATATATATATATATATATATATAAATAATAAAAAATAATTTTTTAATTTTGCTTAAATTTAGTAATTTGACTAATTTTTAATATTTATATTTGATTTGATATTTGTTGTCGTTTACTTTTATCTTTCCCCATCCATTTTTTTAATTATTTGGGCCTGGCTTGAAACGGTCATAATGTTGGGCCAAATTCTGTATTTTAGATTTTATTTTGTTTTTGTTGAGAAATTTATAGAGAATAATTATTTTTATAAAAATTTAAAATATTTTATGAAAAGGACATTTTTGGATCTTTAGAGCATTTTCGACTTCGGTATTTTGTTGGATTTTAACAGTAATGTGTAGTCTAGGCTTTATGTAAACTATTATTATTATTATTATTATTATTATTATTATTATTATTATTTATAAATTAAAAAGTTTAAATATAGAGATTAGCTTACAAGTATAATCTTGTGAAGATCCAATAATGATTTATCTTTGTATTTGTTTTTCCTGTGAAGACTTCAGCCCCACACATAAAGGCTCTGTTTGGATGGCCTAAGTATTTTATGTCTTCTCTCTATTTTAGGTTCATATTCTTATTTGGTACATGACCAAAATAGTCACATTAAAACCTTTATAGTATCTTGGTATCTCTACTTAACTAGAAACCATAATTAAACCATTTGAGAAGCAACAAGTTACAGCTATAATGTATTCTCAACTAGTTACCCACATCCCAAATTCAGTTACATCTATACTCAGATATTGGAAATTCCATCTTTACATATAAATAGATATTAAATTACAGTATTTGAAAAAAAAAATGTGAAATACATCATATAAGATTTTATAAAATTGCGTAAACTTAAAATTTATTTTATACAAGTATAAATACATATAAAAATGCATTATTATATTATTTAATTTCTCCATTATTCATTTTATGTTCAAGTGCTCTTTCTGAGACTTGCTTTTCAATTATTGAGGGGAGGAGTCGAACTTACAACAATAATGTTATTCTCCACTCAGGTGAAATTTTTTTAAAAAAGTAAAGATTAATACCCAATAGAAAAATTATGAAAAGAGAATTTCTAAAAAAAAGCTTCCTTCATGATAAATGAAAAATTGTTCTCAGAAATTCTCTTTTCGAAATTTTTGTCAATGAACTTTTATCAGAGGCATTCTGGTGGCATGACCTTGAATCTGGGTCTGTCATTGCAGTAAGAGTAAAACATGAGTTTTCTTCTTGCCCAATCCATGGCTGCTATTTGCTGCTGTGATAACTTAGTAAACTCTGGTCCATTGACTGGGTCTAGGCCAGAAGGATTGACCTTAGAGCATGAAGAAACTGGTGCTGTGGGATCAGATATGCAACCACTTAGTTCTATTTGTGCAAATGATACAACAAATGGTGCATACTTGTAGTTAACTGGGTATTTGCCTCCATGAGTAGCCCATTCTGAACCATCCCATATTGTGGCATACACTGACATTGGTTTTGATGGATAAATAGAAGGATATGTTCTGCTATGTATGAATTCCCTCACTGGAATATTGTCCACTAAGAACCTACAAAATCCATAATTGGGTTACTATCAGGATAATTTTGTTCATAATAGTTGAGAAAAGGCAAAATAAGCAATAAAATAATTTAGTTTTTCTTTTCTCTCGTCTAGCTTCTGTAAAAGCTAAAAAATGTTAAGTTCTACGAACTGAACATTAATCATCCAGAGTTTTTCCATTTGGATATTCTTTCAGTTTCAAGACTGAAACAAGACTTATCTAACTTACACTGTGTGATAACTGTTCCACAAGATGCTGTAATGATGATACTGCTGTGTCGGGTCGAACCAGAAATAGAATTTCTCTTCTCTCCCCGTGCTGACACTTCCATTGGCATAGACATTTGTTTGAATAACCCAGTCATTTCTCTTATCATGACCCAGAATTTCAATATCTATTTCATCATGGTTGTGAGGGAATTTATCTGCATTTGATAACTGATGTTTTCTCAAGTTAGTTTTTTTAGGACATTCATAACCTCAATGGTAACATAATAGTAAAAAAGAATCTTGTCGATGAAGTAAGTGTCTGTGTTTGTACTGTGTGCTGTGCTACTATATATATCATAATTAAAGACTCTTAAGCATAGAAGAAGTGAGCTTACATAAAAAGCAACAACAACTCCAGGTGACAAACCAGAGGGTAATTTGATTGCAGCACTGAAGAATCCATAGTAATATCTGCTTTGTGATACCAAGCCGGAGCCTATAGAATAATAGATTTGTTTTGAAATGATAAAAACAAAACAAAGGAAACAGGCAAAATTTCAATAACTTGACTAAATGAAGAGGTTGGTCATATCATATCAACCTGAGATTTTGTCAAGAGCCAGTGTGGCCGTGGACCCATTACTGAGAAACTGGATATTGGAGGCCCCAAAAGCCTTAGAAAAAGCTTGATCAACTGGGACACGAGGAAAAGAATCTGTCAAGCGTGTGACACTTGGAGTTGTAAAAGGCCTGTTGTGTGAAGAAACCACAGTGGCTAAGCAAAGGATTAGTAGATATGAGAAGCCTAGTTTTTGTTGCCAAAGTGCCATGTTTTGTGGACGTGTGAAGAGAAAACATGTCATATTGGATATATATTGGGTGTGGTTTAATGAATGGGGTTCATAATCTTTGCTTAGTTGTTTTCTAGCTGGCTAGTGGCTAATTGCCTTTCCCCTTTAGTCATTTCATAGTATCTTTTTTGATAGGTGTCGTGGATCATAAAGGCAAAGATCCAAAGAGTCATGTGGGGTGATTTGTTTAGGTTTGGCAGGGTTTGTGTTGTGGGGCTGGCCTAATGTTAGAGGCATGGAATCGGAATGGACTTTAGTCAGTATTTGATGGGCAATCTCACTCTCCCCTGCATGGCTGTAACATCTGTTACATGTCTTATTCCTTCTAATTCTCTAATTGTAGCTGTGATCCGATTGTGAACAACTAATTTTCTTAAAAACGCGTAAGCTTGACTGAAACTGTCCTCCAATTTGCTTAATGATGAAGACCATACATCACATCACCACTTACACTTCACACCATACTTTCTTTTCTTCTCTTTTCACTTATCATCCATAAATCAGATAGTCTGCACTTTACCTACTCTAAAGCTCACATTTATTTTTTTTATAGTTGAACTCTTAACAAGAATATCAATTATTAAAACTCAATACATGAGTTTAATTCAAAGAAACTAATTCATCAAGAGAATAATTTAAAAACTTTCCTTTCAGTTCCCCGATCTAGCAATCTCTTAAATGCTTGTATCGTTTCATCTTAAATCGCTAAGCTGAAAAAGGTGAGATGGTGGGTAAAAATCAAGTTCAATGGACTAATCAGGAGAATCAAAGAGCGATGATATAAGCTTGGATTAACTACATGATAAAGGCGATTAAGCTAACTAAACACATGGTAGACAAAAAAAATGTCAAAGTATAATTAATTATGAGTGAAATTGAGAAATCTGACAGGGGTGACTTAGCTGGCATGCAGAGGAATCTGATGCGACAGAAAATAACAGAGTACGACATATTTGACGATGCACGTTCACGTTGCCTTTGTTATTTTGTTTGAATAGTGTAGCAGTAGCACGAAAAGGTTGCACGGATCGCATTGAAAGAAAAAGGACGTGTAGGTGGTGGCGGTGGTCACACACATACTTATGCCACAGCATTACATTTTCCTGCGGCACTCAATTGCTTGCTCAATCTTAAATAAGTGAATAAAGACAAGGCAGAGAGAGTGTGATAGACAGCAATTAGCATGGACAAATTTGCAGGTAGGACCAACTTGAGTTTATCCACGGAAAGGGATTGAAACCCATCTATCCATCCATGATTTCATCACCTCATCGATTCAATCTTTATAATGCAATATAATTGGATAGAGTTCATGCACACTTTTTCTTCCACTGATTAAATACACCATCAAATGTTGGGAAAAGCTTAATAGCGTTTGTGGAGAAATAAACTATAAAACCCACTAACATTTCATCTTATTCATTCACTTAGACCTATTTTACATAGGGGAAAAGTTCATCGGCATAGCTCGTTAACTTATAATATTTTTAAAATTAAAAAAAATAAACTGGATTATCAAAATGATTTTTTAAGGTTAATTAGAATTTTATAAATTATTATTCATTTTATTATTTTATATATTTTATGGTTCATTTGTTAATTTATTTATTAATATGTCATATAAAAAAATTATATATATATATAAGGATTAAGATATAATAATAATAATAATAATAATAATATACTCGTATTTGTCACGTAATATAATATGAATTTAATATATTTTCATATTTATAATATACATATTTTCTTTTATATTTCTTATTCTTTTATATACATGGCTGATTCGTAGGCCAACAAGCCCTGTGTACGCATGCTAAACAAATAAACATGCAACAAGGCCTCACCTGTTTATTTTTTTAGGTTAAATAAAAAAAAACATTATGCATTTTAAAATAAATTATAATTTTTTTATATATATAATTTGATCTTGACTCAACCGATTAATATACTAATTTTGATGCGATGGAAAAAAAAACTATTAACATATTTATATAAAAATAATTAATTAAAAATGTTAAAATTAAAAATAAAAATATATTTTAAAAATTTAAATTATATTAATGAAAATAATTTTTATTTTAGATATAAAAATTTAATATATTAAATAAAAAATAAATTATTTACTCACTTCGAAAATAAGAATTAAAAATTTGTTTTTCATTATCATCATTCAACTTTAATAATATATTTATTTAAAATAATAATTCATCTTAATCATTAAATCTTGAAATAAGTTAATGTTAATTAATCTCTTATTAAGTTAATTAATAATATATATATATATATATAATAAAAGTAATAATTATTTTATAAAAAAATAATCCATAAGTTAATTAATAATATATATATATATATATATATATATATAATAAAATAATATTACTTCTTTTAAAGTAATAATTATTTTATAAAAAAATAATCCATAAGGTTTTAGGTTCTCTTGGCCTAAGTCCATTTAAGTTATAACCTAAATAGTTTATACTAAAATTGTGAGAAACTAATTTAAGTGAGTTAGGAGTAGAAGTGATATAATCAGAATAAGTTTGAAATTTTACCTATTAAGCTAAAACGAATTATAAATAAAAAAGTTTAACTATTAAAACTTCATTCTCACAAAACCACCATCTATCTATAACTCATTTTTTTTTTCTACTTTCTCTCTAAATTTCTCACTCCCTCTCTCATCTTTTTTTAGATCGAGGCACTCTTGGAGATCATTTTTACCTTATCAAAATTTTGTATTGAGAAAGTTTATTCTTTCCCAAATTTAGACTATTTTTATATATTTGAGTTTTAAGTTTGCATGTGGGTCCCGGAGGACTTGCATGTATAATTTGGTTTAAAAAGGTGAATCTTGACTAGTTTAGGAGTATTATTGTATGCTCAATTTGTTAATTGAGATTTTTTGTATGCATGATCTATCTTCTTTAAAATTTATGAGTTGTTGGGGTTCTTTGACTTGGAGGCATTATATTTGAGATAAGAGAAGTTAATTATTCTTCAATTTTCATAATACTTTAGGTTAAAAGATATGGTAGGTCACATTGATTAAATTTCAGGAAATTGGATTGTATATTATTTTTTTGTGTGATGATTATATTGAATGCGAATGTATAATTGATTTCTCTGAGATTGAAAATGATAGTCTTTTATATGAATATATTGTTCTTAAATTGAATTTAGTGAAGTGATTTACAATTTGGAGGGTCGTGTTTGGATTTAATATTATTTGGAACATTAGAAAAAAAAGGTATTGAGCAGATTATGTAGTATGCTATTGTTATGAATCTCGTTAATGGATTTAAGGTAGTGTTGAAATTGCTTAAATTCTGCTCGAGCATTTTTAGATTTGTCCAACATATTTTTTGGCAAGGGTTTCATTTTGTCAAAATTTCGCTTAACGCTTTCAAATTTGTGTGTTGGAAAAACAATAATAATAATAATAATAATAATAATAATAATAATCCTAATTTTGATCCTAACATAAACATAATCCCATACTGATAAATATGTTGTAAACTGAATGCAAAAGCGTACTTGAATTAGCCATAACGATGATGTCTTTGTAGAGCACTATATTGATCTTATGGTCTTCCACCTGAAGAGCACCTGTATTTCCCTCTTGATTTTCTCTCTTGATGGGGATAGAAAGAAAGGAATGGGACTGATACTTACGTTCTGTGTGTGTGCTTCTAGAAGGGGACCATGACCCTTTAGATAACCAGAATTAGGTTAATTACTTAAGTTTTAGTATTTCTAATTTGACCCCTCATCAAATTAGAAATTGCTCTATGGTCTCTACACAATTTTATTTTCATGACATATGCTTTTAGCCAAAACTTTAATTTAATCATATCACTTTATTATTTGGCTTAATAAATAATGGCCCTAACACATTTAAATTATGTATCATATATATATATGACCCAAATTTTGCCAACAATCTCCCACTGGTCACAAATATATATGTCCTTACAACCTTACAAATGTGTTAGACTTTATGAGCTCAAAATTGTCATTATATTCCTTTAGCATACTCCAAAAGTCCTGTCCATTAATCATATCAGGATATAGAACCAAACCAGCTTTTCATTGCATCATTGCAATTAAAACCAACAATGATTACTCATCCTAACATAACCAAATGACATGGATTCATCATGAAATGTGTAGCATGAAAAATTACGTGAAGGTGATCTGTACACGTCTATTTTCAACTGGTCCAAACTTTAACTTATCGAGATCGATATAATATCCTTAATGTACAAAGTGTAATGAATGAACGAAAAAACCGCATATCTATAGATAACCAAATATGTCAAAAAAAAAAAACAATGTATACATATATGAAATTAAACATAGAACATAAAATATATGAAAGTGACTAACTCCCACTAAACCACAAATTCCTCAAAATGTAAAACACCCATGTGAGCAAAATGCTCATGAAAGACCTTGGGCGGAAGTCCTTTAGTTAGAGGATATGCTATCATGGAGTTTGTCCTTAAGTGTTCTATGAAAATATGTCCACTTTGTACTCTTTCCTTAACAATACAACTGATTTATTGTCACAATATAACTTAAGTGGTCTTTCAATTCCTTTCACAATTTGCAGCCCTGTGATAAAATTTCTCAGCCATATTCCATGATTTGATGCCTCATAGCATGTTACAAATTCTTGACATCCTACAAAATCTGAGTCAGAAAACCCAGAGATCTCCAACTGGTCTGACCTCCTATATGTGAGCATATAATCTTTTGTTATCTTTAAATATCTTATGACTCTTTTTGCTGCTTTTCAATGGTCTATTCCTGGATTGCTTATATATCTGCCTAGAACCCCAACTATATATGCTATGTCTGGATGCGTACATACTTGGGCATAGATCAAACTCCCTACAACTGATGCATAGGGAATCTTTTGCATTTCCTTAATTTCCAAATTTCCCTTTGGGCATTGATTGAGACTAAACTTGTCTCCCTTTAAACTTGTGATACACACAATCATC